GCCTGACTGAGCCCGGCGCGGGCTGCGCGGCCGCCGTGGCCGAAGGAGGCGGGGACACGCGGGCGCGACGACGCAGTCCGCCCCGGAGAGGGGTGGATGCTTCCTCGCTGGGCTCCCCGCCGCCCCCTGGCTGCTGGCCGCGAGGGCTGCACTCCCTGGGCCGCGGAGTTGGATCGGGTGACGGCGGAGATGCAACCCACAGGCCTCAAGTCATAAAGAAAACGGCCCCGCGTCGGCCTTAGGGGCAATGCCTGCTGCTCACCCCCAGCTCCTCCCCACCCTCATGACCGGGCTGCAGTGACGCGCAGGGCACCCCTCAGGCACCCTCACAGGCTTGCTTTGGGGATAAAGGTTGTCCCAGGAAGGTCCCCTCCATCGCGGCGGCAAGGTCCGGCTGGACGCTCCCCACCAGCCTGGGCTGCTGCTGAAAACGCACGGAGGTGGGGGCGCTCTGGGCTGGCTCTTGAAACGGCCCCTTGTTGGGGGTCTCCAGCTCCAGAGCACCTGGCGCTCCTGGGAAAGCGGGGTGCGTGGGGCTCTAAGCCGTGAGGAGGAAAAGCGGCTCTGACGGTTCTTGGCAGCAGGACTGTGCGGGAGGGGGCGAGTGTGCAGGCTTGTGAGCTCTAGGGGTGCAGGGGTGTGGGTTTGGGGACCTGGGCGTCATGGACACAGGCATGTGGCTGAGTAGCGTGGACGTGTGTCCTGCCTTGCTGCCATGGTGGGTCCTGAGTGCTGGCATCCAGGCACAGGGCAGAGCAGTTGGCACAGTGGGCTCCTGGTTGGCATCATCTCCAGGACCCAGGCGGGTCTGTCAGAAGCCACTGGCCTGCCTACACACACCTGAACACGGCTTCTGAATTTGCAGCAGGCTGCCAATGGCAAGGGACAGCCGCTTCCTGAGGCCTTCCATTAAGCTTCCCCGGCCATCAGGAGGCAGGGACTGCCCTGGTCCCTGGGCATTCTTCTCTGCCCGTGTGGAAATTCATCTCCTTCCTGGGGGGGATTTGAAAGAATGACCTTGGATGCAGGAGCAGGCCTCCCTGGTGTCTGCCTAAGGCTACAGCTTTCCGGGGCTGTTCCTTTTCCCTGCCCAGCCCCTGTTATGGAGAGGACTCCCTAAAGGCCAGGTAACTCCGGCCTGCCTGCTGGTTTGAGACCCCACCCGCTCCCTAAAGGAGCTCCTCACTTTTGTTTTTTTGGCTGATGAAAAAGATTGGAAGGGATGGGGTGGCAGTGGGTCTGGGTTGAACGCTGTGCATTCCAACTGTTGGGTAAGGGCGCCACCTCCCAGCACAGGCTGGTAATGCAGGCTCTGCTTTGAACCTCCAGGAGTCCTAGCCACAGGCTCCGCCTCCTTGTCTTGAGAACCTGTATTTAACACACGTTCCGGGCCACAAGCCCTGTCGGCCCAAATCACCCACGCCCGCCTCCCACTGCAGAAGCAAAGTGACCACTTACTCTACTGGAACAACTTCAAATCCAATCCAACCCAACCCAATCCACAAAACTCTTAGTTCTTCTCTGAGGCCACAGATACTGATTTAGCATCTAGCCCTGCTGGCACAACGGTTACATGCTCGGCTGCTAACTGAAAGGTTGGTGATTCAAACTCACCCAGCGGCTCCTCGGGAGAAAGACCTGGTCATCTGCTCCCATAATGATCACAGCCTGGAAAACCCTACGGGGCAGTTCTACTCTGACATATGGGGCTGCTATGAGTTGCAATCAACTTGACGGGACCCAACAACAAGCGGGAGACGCAGGGTCTGGTGTGCCATGGACCCCGGGACAAAAGAAATACCAATATGATAATGGCATTCCTAGGGCCCTCTCCACAGGCTGGACGCTGTACGTGTGTTCAAACTTCCCTACAACTCAGCAAGCAGACCCCATCCTGTGTGTAGAGTCTGGAGCCCGACAGCCTGAGTTCAAACCCTGGCTCTGCCGCTTACTGGCTGTGAGCCTTTGTTAGCCCTTCTGTGCCTCAGTGTCCCCCTCTGTAAAACGGGTTTTATAATAGTGCCCTTCCTTTCTGGGGTAAGGGGAGCCCTGGTGGTACAGTGAATAAGGCACTTGGCTGCTAACTGAAAGGTCGGTGGTTCAAACCCACCAACTGCTGGGGGAAAAAGATGGGGCAGTCTCCTTCCATAAAGATTACAGCCCTGGAAACCCTATAGGGCAGTTCTCCTCTGTCCTATAGGGTCACTATGAGTCAGAATCAACTTGATGGCAATTTTTTTCTTTTTCTTTTTGTTCTTCGGGGTATTGGGAGGATTACATGAGTTAATGGAGGAACAAGCTTGGCGCCTAATAAAGGAGTCCGTCGTTGTTCATTGTCACACCCTCTTTGCAGAAAATGAGACTGGCTCAGAGCAGATCCACAGCCAGGCGGCCTTGGGAGAGATGGCCTCCGAAAGGCGGTGTGATGCTCCCAGAGACGCCTGCCACCTCCCTTCACAAAGACCACTCACAAGAGACGCTGCTGCTTCATTGCTCAGAT